CCTCGCCTGTCCTCCGTGCGCACATGCGGTTAGGGCGCCGCCGCGCGCGCGCCCGAGCCTTCCCGCCGTTACCTCCGGCCGGGGGCGCGCGTGCGTCACCGCCAACCTGACGTCCAGCCTCCGCCATCGGCACGTTTGTTCCGCCCCCTACCCCCTCAATTTTAATGGGAACAACCTCCTCCTGACCTCCCCTCCGCGCGGGCGAGTGGGCTCGTCCACATCCGGGAATCGGAGGAAGAGGCGTGCCCACGGTCACGTGGTGCGGAGGGCGGGCTCCGGCGGCGGCGGGCGCGTCCCTGAGTCGGTAAGGGTTTCCCGCGCCCCGAGCCTAGGCTTTGGAGGGCGGGAAAGAGTTCGTTCCTCAGCGTGACGCTTTCCCCGTCCTTGCTAGGCCGAGGCGGAGGCCTTCACTGCATCCTCGTCGCTGCCCTTACCGCACGCCAGGTCGTGTAGAAAGGGACTTGCGTCGCGGGCCTGCCCCGGTACCTCCCGGCTCTTGCACGTTTGGTATATCAACCGGAAGTCGGTGCTGTGGGCGGCCTCGCCCACCTGTGCAGATGGTGGTGGCCTGCGAGGGTCATTTCTAGAAAGGGCAAAGGCCTCCTTGCTTTGATCTTGTAACTAAGTACTTACGAAACTCTAAAACAGAGGTGTGGATAAAATGTGCCCCTGCTCCGGGGAACGCACGCCCGCGTGTCTGGAAAAAGCATGAAACGAGCAGTGTGACAAGCGCCCAGTCGGGGTCACTCAGTGCGCCCGGGGGGTTGGGACCCGCGGAGGGGCGGGTGCCGCCCTCTGCCTGGGGCTTGAAGAAGAAACCTAGTTTTTTATACCTGCTGGGTTGTTAGCTGGGGAGAAAAGGAAGAGGAAAGGGCATTCCAGGATCGGGACTATCACACGTGTAAGGAGAGCTTGTTCGGGAAACTGGTAATGGTTGATTCTGTCGAGTGTAGCAAGTGCTTGGGACGGTGGCTGCGTCCTGGACTGTGCCTCTCTCGATGCTTTCCAGCCCCTTCAGAGTGAAAACGCCTTAGCGCCTAACTCTGGAAATGGGATGTTGACCCTGATGCTCTAACGCGCACCTTTAGTTTGAAAGGAAAAGTACAGGTTAGTGATGGGCAGAAGAGGCTTTCAAGTGCAAAGGGCGGAAAGTGTGATAGGGTTAGAGGTGTTTGAAAGAGTGACAGGTGAAAAAAGATCGAGGCCAAATTGGGGAAAGATGTGTTGAGTCACTGATACAGAATTTACACGTAACAATTAGAGATGATAATACCTGAGCAATCAGTCACACAGCCGACCAGATATGTTTAGTGGGTCATAAGAACAGGAAGGAAGTATTCAAGGGCAGAATGCTGCTGAAGCTGGAGTGATTTGAGAAAACTTGACCAAAAAAGGTGGAATCTCTGTGGGCCTGGGAAAATCAGCAGGTTTTGATCAGCAGAGAAAAGGGAGGAGGCTAACCCAGAGGACAGGGCATCAAGAACAAAGGAGTGACAGCAGGAAAAAGGAGGGCTCTTGTAGGACAGGGACTCCAGAAGTATAACTGGAACTGAGGGTAAGGAACCTCCTGTGAGTAAATTTCTTAAAGACAGGCTCCTTGTGCGTTATTTACGGGGTAGTACTGGATTAATTCTTGTGTGAAACATTAAGACCTCATCTGGTTCACTGATTGCAGAAGTAGCTGGGCACCTTTTGCTTCAGTTTTACCTAGATCCTTATCTTGGGTAAAAACTCTCCCCCGTTCCAACCTGTATAATTATTACCCAAGTATTAAGGCAATCTTGCAATCATACTATTGGGGGCAAACACAGGCCTGTGTGGAGTTGGATTCCACTCCCAAAGATTGTTTCTTATATGAGTCTTCATACTTTTAGAAGTGGGAATGACAGTATCTTTGGTGCCACAGACTTCCAGGATGGCTTTTTTGTAGCAGGGATCACAGTAGGGTGATACCTGTGATGAAGAATAGCCCACACTTGGAAAGAAGGAAACCAGAGGTACCTTCCAAGCTGGCTACAGCTGTTTAGGGGGGGATAAAAGAGGGTGGGGAATCAGTGTTGATAAGTAAGCATCTTGACCAGGCATTTCATTAAAGGGTATCCAGCATTAAGAATCAGAGGAACCCCAAAGACAAGAAGAAACAAGTAGCATGAGGTCCTACCACTATTGCCCACTTGAAGATACTGCCTTCAGGGCCCAGAGTGGGTGTCATCTTAAAGGAGGCCATGGCCCGGCTGGGCATGGCTCAGTGCTTGAGCATCGACCTAGGATCCAGGAGATCTCGGTTTGATTCCCGGTCAGGGCACATGCCCAAGTTTCGGGCTCAATCTCCAGTCAGGGGCATTCAGGAGGCAGCCAATCAATGACAACTCTTTCATCATTGATGTTTCTATCTCTCCCTCTCTCTGAAATCAATAAAGATATATTTAGAAAGAAAGAAAGGAGGCCATGTCCTTTACAGACTCAGCTGAGGATTTCTGTCAGGTCTGTGGTTGGTCACTTTGTATAACCCAGTTCAGTGTTATCTCCGTATGTTCATTTGGCTTCTTAGCCTAAGAATGCCAATATTTGAGCCAAGGCAGGTGGTGACTCTTGTAAAATGGTGCAGGGAAGGCTAGAGGGACCAGAGAGGAGACTTTGTTATGAGTCAAGGACTCATCAAAGGAATCCTGAACAGGGAAAGGTGATTGTGCAAGTCAGGAGAGCAAAACTACATTCTAGATGTACTGTGGCCTCGGAATAGAGGCCCTCAAATACATTGCCTTCCTGTCACACTGACACTGATCTGCCAGCTAGGCTATGTCTGATATCCAGTGTACACTAGAAAGCATCCATTGGCTGGAGGATGGGGGGATAGAGGAGGGACTGTGATAATACAAGTAAGTTGTCACCTGACCCAGATGTGAAAATGAGTCTTTCCCAGGGTAGTATTATGCCAAAAGGCACATCCAGGCTAAGAAGCCTGGGGAATCCTAGTCCTGGATTACATCACCTCCTGAGTCTATGTTTTAGAAATAACCTCTTTGGCTTACAGATTTGACAAGATCAAAGCTGCAGGAGAATGGACAGTGAAGTACAGAGAGATGGAAGGATCTTGGATCTGATTGACGATGCTTGGCGAGAAGATAAGCTGCCCTATGAGGATGTTGCAATCCCACTGGTAGGGTGTCATTTGTGCTGAGGGTGATGGGTTAAAGGTATGACCTGGTGGGCCCTAGGACGGGTAGAATATCAATGGGCAAGTAAACTAGTAAGGCAAAGAAGTCAAGGCTGTGGACTCCACTAACTTTAGAAGCTTCCGGAGAGCATCTAGACTTTTTATTTGAAGAGAAATGTGGTTCAGAGAGCTGATATGACCAGCTCAGTTAGGGGTCATTCCAGGACTGGAACCCAGGTCTTCTGAGCCATTTCCTGTCAACTACACCAAAGCCAGTAAAGCAGACGAGAGTTTAATGCATAAGATGGGGAAGAATACAAAGCCATGGCATATAAGCTTACTTCCCTACCTGTGGCTTGTCAGTCTATTGACATTTTTAAAAACTCACATTTTTGGAGCACATACCTATCCTAAGTTCCCTAGAAAATATTCAAAAGACATCTGACTTTTCTTCTTTTCCCTTTAAACCAGCAGGCTCCTCTTGGAATATACTTTTTTGCTCTCTGGGAAACTGTCCTGCAAGCAGTTTGTTAAACCTTATGTAGTAAATGATCTAAAAATTTTGCTTGTATAAATGCATATTAAATATCCTGTTTATGTCATAGAGGCCTATGAAGGACAAAGATATCAGGGACCAGGGGGACTGGTTTTCCTTAGAGTATACAGCTGTCCTGAGAAGAGCTGTTTATAAGATAAAGCTTACAGATAGACTGCTGCTGCTGTTACAGAGAAAGAAAATTCAGCTCACTCACGTTTTCATTTAAGAATAAGAGATGATAGGTAATATGTTCAATGACAATTACACATATCAAATAATAAGTCACAGCTTTGTCCAAGTTTAGAAAAATAGTCGAAAAAGAGTGTAATGAGAATTAGAGTTGCCACGTAGTGAATACCAGTTTTATGCCATGGACCAAGATTGAAATTAGACATACGTTAGCTCTAATCTTGAAACAGCCTTTCAAGGATGGTGGCGTTATCCCCATTTTATGGGAAGAAATAGGATCAGAGAGGGATACTTGCCCAGGGTTGGGTATCTGATGAGTTGGACTGTGAGACTCCAGATCCTGCCCTGTAAACTTTGGTTTCTTTCATTCCACAAACATTTCTTTGGAAGCTGCCTGTGTGCCAGATTATATGAACATAAGACGCGGTTTCCGCCCCTGGGGGTCTAGAGAGGTAACACATAAATAACTAATTATAATAACAAAGGTTCTAAGTGGGGGGGTCACAAACAGCCACCATGGTATAGGAAGTAGCTCTTTGCCTGGTGGGCATCAAGAAAGGCCAAATAGAGAATGTAATGTTTAAGCTGGTCATAAGGGAGGACCAGTAGTTTAGTGGGGGTGGACAAGGGCACTCCAGCAATGGGGACACGTGTGCAGAGGCTAAGAGCTTTTAAAGTCTTTGAGATAGAGTGAAGTATTCAGTGGGGATGGAGAATCTATCATTCAAGGTAGGCAAAAAGTTGGGCTTGGACCAGGTTTCAAGAGGAATATTTCGTACCATGCTAGCCCTCATCCTGGGGATATTCAGGAATGAATGGTCTTCAAAAATAGAAGTCTACCATGCTCAAATTTAGGTTTTGGGTAATCAGCGTAGCAGCACTATCAGAGAGTGTCTGCCTTGGAGAAAGGGGCAAGTGACAGGACAGAGAGACCGGAGAGGCCATGGTCTAGGCAAGGGAGGAGGGCCTGAACATTGGCAAAAAAATGGAGGGGAATAGGCAAATTCTGGACCTGCTTGTGGCAGGATTCAGGGACCATTTGTGTGGTAGGGGACAAGGGAGAGGGAAATGTCCATGCTGACTTCCACGTTCTAGCCTAATCTTGTTGCTAATCCATGTTTTTCCCCAGGTCTTGTGATTCTAAGGCATCATGTATATCAGTTAGCTTTTGGTGCTGCCCAACAAGTCACCCTAAAACATAGTAGCTTAAAACAGTAGCTACTTGTCTCGTGATTTTGTAGCTCAGCTGAGAGGGTCTTCTGGTCTTCACCAGCTCAGCTCATCCCTGCTGGAGTTGCTTGTGTTCTGCAGTCATGCAGCAGGCGAGCTGGAGGCTGGGTAATTCAAGACACTTTCTCATGTCTGGCAGTTAAGCAGGCTACGAGCTGGGATAATGAAGTGACTAGGCCACGCTCTCTCATTATCTAGGAGACTCGCCCAGACTTCATATGGCCCTCTCAGGGTTCCAAGAGCACCATCAGAGCAAACTGCAAGTTGCATAGAGCTTAGGCCAAGAGCTGACCATCTGGCACTGCAGCTGCTTTCTGTTGACCAGAATAAGACACCTGGCCAGTCCCAGTCCAAGACTGGGGAACTAAGACTGCCTCTTTATAAGAGTAGCTGCAAAGAATTATGGTCATTTTTACAGTGTGCCATAATAGATGGTTGTGTTTATGATATTTTGTTTTCCAGGTACATATGCAATTTTACATGTTGGCATTCATTGCCAAGAGACAATAGTGACCAAATGAAAGACATTATTTTAGAAAGCATACCACAGATAGGATGAAATTAAGCAAAGTTGCCTGCCTCTGAATTAAATAATTCATTAAGCAAGGACTTGTTTATGCTTTGTCAGCTATTACTAATTACTAGAACCAAACTTTCCCTTTAAGTTCTTTTCCATTTGTACAAGTATGTTTGAATTTCAGTCTTAACATTTGTAGAGCAAGATGTATGGGATCCAGATATGCTTGTCGTATTATAAATAAATCATTTTATATATACTAACATAATTCTCAAGGAGAAAAGCATTATATTCATATATTACAAATTGGAACCCATTGGGAAATCATAAGTCTGGATAGTGAGTAACGGTTTGCTGACGCTAAAAAAAGTATAAATTCAGATAATTAAAAAGAAATATATTGGTATCAGTGAACTCTGTTACAAAGCAGAGTCCTGGTAGTAATACATTTAATTTTAAAATATAAGGAAACTTCCTTAAAAGTTCTCACCACACATAAAAATGGTAACTATGTGAGGCGAGGGGTATACTAACTGACCTTATTGTGGTGATCATTCCACAATGTATATGTGTATCAAATCATATTTTACACCATAAACTTACAGAATATCATATGTAAATTAAATCTCAATAAACCTAGGAAAAAATATATATATATTTACATATATATATATTTATATATATATAAATAAGTAAGAAAGGAAATTATTCCATTTCTACACTAAGTGTGGCCTGTGCTTACCATTTTAAGAAAATGCTGGCACGATCTGAATTGATTATTTGCCATGTTTTATGCTGCCCAACTCCACCACTAGGTGGCGGTCTCATGTTACATTTTCACTGCTCCCCGCTTAGCTCATTATGATCTAGGTATGTTGGGTACAGGATAGTTTATTAATACATTTCTTGTGCTTAAGGAATATGCCACCAATTGTGATATTCTATTAAGGCAGCCCTCCCCCCAAAGACACAGTATTGGCCCTTTTCAGTTTTCTAACAATAGCAACCAGTCACTAACAATAATAGCAAATATTCCTTGAGCATGGATGCCCTGACTAGTGCTGAGCACTTGATCTAAATCACCATGTTTAGTCTCACAGCAGTCCTGTGAGGTGATGGCTATATTTCTCTCTTATTTTCAAAGAGGAAACAAAGGTTCCAAGCGCTTAAATACCTTGCCTGAGTAACCCAGCAAGCAGTGGAGTCATGGGCTTGGATCCCAGTGGCTTCCAGAAGCTCATGCCCTTAGCCTTCTGCCACATTGCCTCCTGCACAAGTGCTAGAGCCATGAGGCCATCGTTCCCTTCTGCAGAGGACCTAAGTGATACTTCTTTTTCCCCCCCCTCACCAGAGGATATTTTTCCATTGCTTTTCAGAGAGAGAGAGAGAGACATCGATGTGAGAGAGACATATCGATTGCCTCCCTCACACACCCTGACCAGGGCCAGCTAGGGCCTGAGTGATACTTCTGATACTTGCTCACATCTTTTTATTCTAGCTCACTCTTTAGGATACACTTTACAAATTATGCTGCCTGTTTTTAGGAGCTCAGGTTTGAATTCTATGTGCTCTTAAGGTTTTAAGGGGTTTGTTAATGTATAGTTTACTGTCATTCTGAATATCCACTGTACCTTTTCAGAATGAGCTTCCTGAACCTGAGCAGGACAATGGTGGCACCACAGAATCTGTTAAAGAACAAGAGATGAAGTGGACCGACTTGGCTTTACAGTACCTGCATGAGAATGTGCCTCCAGTAGGAAACTGACCCTGGCTCCGTTCTCATGGACAGATTTTTTTTTTTTTAAATATAGAAATACAAAATGTTTTCTTTCAGTCTCCTAATTCAGATCTTTCAGCGATAGATCAACACTCAAAAATGTACAGCCACTTAGTTTGTGGCAGCAAAGTGCAATGTGGAAATACCAGAATGAGAAACAGCTGGAGATTTCTCAGGAGCACAGAATATTTGGCTCTTTGAACCTAAAGTTCTTCATTTACTAGCTTGTGTTTAAACGTGTTCTGTTAAACATTTGCCTTTAACTCTATAATTTTGCTTTACTGTCAGAGTTTAACACTTCCCAACTGCTTATGTGTGTCCTGTGACAGAGGTGGTTGAAGATAAGAGAGGAAAAGACTAAGAGAGGAAGCCAACATAGGGAGAATTACTAACTTCTTATGTGCCCTCTTGGGGAAGCAGTCTGAGTGTGTGTATATGAAGGCTGGAGATATAATAGATATTCAGAAGCCCATTCACTGACTGCTGGAATTCCTGAGACTCCCCATGATGTTTTCAAACTGTGGATACATTTATAAATAAAAGACTGTCTGACAGTTCCTCTGTTCTCCCTACCACTTCTTTTGATGCCTTTGGAAAGGATTATTGGCTAGATGCACTACTAGCTTTATCCAATAATGGTATTTATTTTCTCAAAGCCATTTGAGATATAACTGAAACACCATGGAGTCCATATTACTTATACGTTTATATGAGAACTTTTATTTTGCAAAACATGTATTTATCTCCTGGAATTATTTGCCTCCATTAAGTGGTGTCTGTCTTGTTCTCTATCCAGACTGTAAACTCTGGGATGAGGCCCTGGTTTATACTTCTGTATCCATTATTGGAAAACTGGAAACAATAATTGAAATCTCTTTTCTCATCCCATTTTTACTGGGTCTTTCTGTTTACCTAGCTTTTAGGACGACGAAATAAATCACAAAACAAGTGAGCTGATTTTAGGAATTCAGTAGAAACCTTGTGTAGCAACTCTCCTGTGAGCCGAACACATCCAGGCTGATCTCCCTGTTCATCAAGTGTCCTGCTGAGAAGTCATTCAACTCAGAATAAAGACCCCAAGGCACCAGCCCCACAAATAACCAAAGAAAAACAACCTAGTAGAAAAGAGAATTACAATTTTTAGAAAAAAAATTATGCTAAGAGAAAGCTTTTCAAAAAATTAAAGAATCTATAATGTTCTTCCACATTCTGTTTAAATGAGGGTTTTACTACAACTGTATTTGTGATGTGTAATATCTGAGACACTGACATCCAACTAGGAACTTAGCAGGTGTTCATGTGAATCCAGCGTTGCTCGTGGGCCCAGCCTTCCCAGGAATATTGGTAGACCAATAAAATATTAAAGTTTTTTTTATTTCAACAGAATCAGTATGATACCTGTAAGGTAGACAGCTGTTGGTATATGTGCTTAGCTTATTACCCTCATCTGAGAACCTCTCCTACACCAAGTTTCTGAACTGTGAGATGGTGGCAGAATCAGCTCATTGTATTAGGAATTGGGTAACCAAGCCTGGTCCAGTCGAGTTGTCAGCTGGGGCTTTAAAGTCTGCTCGTCTAGGACTGGCTTGAGGATGGTGAGCACAAGAGATTCAAGGCTGCTGTAGGGTGGCTTTCAACCATATATATTGACGCACCCAAGGAAGAAAGTGCAAAAGGAGGCTAGAGGATCTGTTGCACCTTGGTTCCTGCAGCTTCCCAGGTGAAAGCATGAGTGTTGTCCTCTGGAAACAGAAACTGCCTGCAGGAGCTGCCACCCCTTGAAGCCCAAGTTAGACCCACTTCTAAAGAATATGGTAACAATAACAGTTAACTGAATGCTTCTGTGTGCTTTAGACACACCTCTAGCCCTCATGGCCCTTTTGAAGGTGGATATTTTTATCAATAGGAGATGGCGACTTAAAATTAAATGACATGTTCCAAGTTAAAAGACTTATTCCAGGTCACTCAAACTGCAAATGAATTCCAGCGTAGGCAGTGTGATCCCAAAACCAGTGTCCTTCCTAGACCACATGACCTCCCCGGAAAGCTTTCTGTGACCACTCCTTTCTAAAATGGGAAAAAAATTCTACCGGAATACTTAGAACTTCAAAATGTTAACCTTGTTTCTATAATTGAGCTAAAGAACTAAGAATAATTTTATTAGAAACCTGGGAGTCATGAAACATTTAAAAATTTAACCTATTACCAAATCCATATATAACTCATAACTTGAGCAGCATGAGTCATGTTGTTTTCACTGGTTTTTATTCAAAGTTAAATCCCACGGGTATATTTTCCAGTGTTGGTACATTGAGAGTGAACAGTTTAGTATCAATGGTAGTTAGTAGCATACCAGCAAGGGGCATCAATTCCAATAATCAATCGCTGGCTGACCTTTTAGAAAACTTGAAACAAGATACTGAATAAATGTGGTATTTTGTTTGGAAGTGATTATATGTGAAGCCCTGGGATTCAGGCCACCCACTCTTGGGCTGGGCAGCTCACCTAGTGGGCTCCTTGCTCGTGCTTTGTAGGAGGCCAAGTGAGGGCATCTGGAAGGGGAGGGCATTTCAGAACTTTGCCCGCCTGTGACCCCAACTTATACTCTTAGTCAAGGCCTGGGGATTCTTTCATTAAGCTTTTCCCCCATGTCTTTGTGTTAAATCATTTGGATAATTTAGGTATCATCCTGGAATAATTGGTTTCCAAAGCTTCCTTTCTTGATTTGGCCCTGCCTTACCCACAGTTAAATTCTTTCCCCAGTTCTTTTCCACTCCATATATTATGAGTGAGCTCCTGAGGAAAGCAGTGGGGGGCTAGGGGCTGGCATGGAAAGGCAAATTGGTAGTCTTGAGGAAGCTTCATATCCTGTGGCCTTCCTGGCCCCAGGTGATGACCTTGGCCTTTGACCCTTAGCCAACAAGGACTCGCTTCGTGGGCATGCAACCTGTGCAGTTGCACAGGGTCCCACACTCAGAGGACCTGATGTGGCTGTCTTGAACACTAAATTTTTGACCAAGGGACCCATGTTTTCATTTTGTACCAGGCCCCATAAATTATGTAGCTGGTCCTTAAATGTATGGTAGCCATCTGTAGAGGTTCGCTGTTGGACAGTGACTAACTTGACCCAGCAAATGCTCTCACCTTGGGGTTGAGAATTTGAGACACTATGAAAGTAATCCTTTGGGGTGACAGAAAATCAGGCAGGTCCAGGAGAAGTGGCTGGAGAGAAGCTGGGGCAGACCTTCAAACTCGCTGTGACATCCCATAAACTCTTGCAGCTGCTGAAACTGTTTCCTGAGCTCTACTGAGTCCTGTGTCATTCCTTCCACCTGAAAGCTAGCCTGACTGACCCATGGGGTAGAGAGAGGTATAGAAATGCTGGAAGCACAGCAAGACAGGTTTGTGGACAGCTAAGAGAACTTGAAGCAAGGTTATCGCCTGATCCCAGGGCACGTCCGTGCCCGAATTTCATTTGGCTCTTAGTCAACTGCTGTATGAACTTGCACTCTATCGCCTTGGGTATAGCAATGAAGTTGTCTCAGAACAGAGCCTGACTGAAATGAGATACCGGAAGCACAATTACAGAGCTGGGAGCAGTGGTCAACACTTTGGTTTGTGAAGGGTTTCTACCTGGGTATTTAATTTACCCTATCACGTTGAACCGTATGAAAAAAAACATTTATAAAGATCAAAAAGTGTCAGTCACAACTTCCTATGTTTTTAGCTCATTTTATTCTTACCTAAAGCAAGCTGAGCACATATACACACAAACACACATCCACACACAACACACGAGAACCGGATTTGACGGGTAGAGGTGGGGAGCCGGCAAAGGGTGGAGAATTTGAAAACAACCAAATGACTCGAGAGGAAGTGAGGGAGGTGGGTGTATAGACCCATCCCAGTTATTCCATGCCTTCGCTGGTGACTCAGATCCCCTTTACCGTGATGCCACCGCCCGAGGGCAAAAGGGGTTTTCCTCCACCCATGCCAGGATCTTGCCTCCACTCTCAGCATCCCTGCCATGCTCCCTCCCGCCCTGTCTCCAGCAGTTCCCCGCCCCACCACCCTGCTCGCAGATTGGCAGTCGCGCTAGCTGCCATAGAACCTAACTGTGTGGCACTTCCTGAGGGGGAGAGGCGGCGGCACCCCTGCCTCTTTGCCAGGGGGGATGCCCTAACATCTGTCATCCACTAAGACCCCACGTGGCCCCCGGCTCAGCCCAGACAGAAAGGCCCGTGGGCCGGTCTGGCGAGGCGCTTCCCTCCCCCCCACCTTCTGGCCCTTGGGTCCCCAGCTGCTCCGCCAGCCTCCCTGGGGCTGTGCAGATGCTGAGACATCCCGCCTCCCCTACTCACCCGGGGCTGCCCT